CCACTGATCAGACCTCAAATGATAATAAAACGAATAGCCTGCCGACCATACTGAGAGACAAACGTGGATCTTACCAGCTCTTCATAGAAGTTTCCAGTCTCTTCCTCGGTTTATGAGTCGTGTTGAGTCCGTTAGCATAACTGGTTTATGGGGGTGACAGGAGACAGCTCTGCCGTCCTGACTGTGACACTCGCGAAGTGAGCGCGTCATCCATCCGCTCTCTCAAAACCCTCTGCGAACCCGAAGGGGGCGGGGCGGAGTGGACGGAAGCCACGCCCACATCATGGACCGTCTCAGGCAAGAGATTGGAGGTTATGAGTAATACAAAAAACTGCAGGTTGATTTAGTTAGTGCATGTCCAGTTTATTTTATGGTAGGCTGCTTAAGGTACTTTCATCCTCCATCCTCTCTCTCTCTCTCTCTCTCTCTCTCTCTCGCTCTCCCTCATTATTTTATTGTCTTAGTTGGAGGAGTTTCAAAATATTTTCCGTCAATTGATACAGGCCTATCAATAAATCAACATATCATTGCATCTATTCTATACTTCTATATCATACTCTGTATATTAATCTGGACAAAGTCTGTGTGATGTCACCCATTGGTTTCTGAAAGGCTGTTTTGGAAGCCCATCCATGGTGGTTGCCATATTGGAAATGCTGACTCTTTCAAAACTTTTAGTCAACCTAACATCAGGCAAAGAGCTGGAGCTGCGAATATTACAGTTTCTCTGATTCCCTTTCGCACAATTCTCAAATGAGAAAAGCATATTTTTCAAATCGTTAAGCTCTGAACAATTACTTTGTCATTCACAACGGATTAGAATTTCTCATTCATTCATGTGTGCAATTCTCTACAAATCTGCATAAAAAATCCCTTGTTTATAGCTCACTGATCAAAACAGTTGATTCTCAGTAAAACTTTTAAACTCTTCACAACTTCTGAACTTTCTTTCATCAGATACTGAGATTTCTTCAACATTTTTGTGAATTGAGAAACTACAAGTTTCCAAAAACATGAAAAAGATGACAAAAAGCAGAAACATTTGACCAGTGAAACTCACACAATGACAAAACAACTTTTCAGTTTGGCTGCAGTGACCAATAAACGGACACAGAAACTATAGGTTTTGAAACATAAATGAAAAGTTTTGGGTGACTTACTACCTTTTGCAAACATGCAAATTTGGATGTAGCCTATCATTAAACTGTTGTGACAATTGCACTTAGAGTTTAGAGAATGAAGACTGTTTAAAAAAGAACAATGCTAAAATGATTGACAAAAACGGAAAGCCTCCTGACAACCTGCTTAAACATGGCTGCTTACAGTTATATTGGTCACGCCCCTACTAAGACTACAACTTGTATTCTTTATTAAATCAGAACAGAGACTTGTAAAATCCCTGAAACCGGGAATTTTGTGCCAATAAAGACATTAACTAATCAGACCAAAATCTTTTTTTTTTTTTGTACCAGGCTGTAAACATGTTTTTTTTTTCTTCTGTCAAAACAGACTTTCTAATATATTGTGTGTATGGGACTTCCAGGTCTTTTGGAACCAGCCTCAAGTGGACACTTATGGAACTGCAGTTCTTTGCATTGGCTTCATTTTTCAACACTGGATGTTTATTATTAGGTCTACTACAACCTTAGCACAATAGTTGAACACAGCCCTTGTTTACATTCCGTTGTGTGATTGTGAGACAGAGAAAAAAAAGAACCGTCAACCTTCAAAACTGTTAATATTAAAGCCATTTGTTGAACTGACAGTAATGTTGTGAGCTTCTTTGGGAGTTTACAGTGACAAAACAGACTTTAACACATTTCCCTTTTTATTTTGTATATCAAATTGAATATATAAAATGTTTTCATCTACCAAATCAAAGACAATCACCTCTCCTCTGGAAAAAAACAGGACCTTATTTTGTCGTTAAGCGACCTTTGCACGCTCTAGTTGAACAAATATTGTAAAACACATTGTTATGATCGGAGCTTTGTGACCTGTGAAAGCAATGTGTTTCCTCTTACTGGGAGCTATAAACATAGTAAGGTATCCCAGTATGTGAACTACCTCCCCTGCTCTGCCTCATTCTGTCACTCTTTCATCTTTTAGTATTTAGAAAAGCGCTATATAATCTAATTTATTATTATTATTTCTATTTAGGCATTTATGTGACAGCTTTCCTTCACTTGAACTGTTTGATATTGATATGCAAAGTATGAGAAACAGATTTATCTTCTGAGAGGGATACAGAGATTTCAGCATACAATCACATATAAGGAAATCATTTGAGGACATTGTTCCTTTACTTCTGCTGGGGATGCACCAGAACACAGAAGTCTTTTGGATCTTGGGAATTTGTCCCTGTATCCTATCTATCTTTGTCTTCTGAGCTTAACTTCCTCTACACTCATTGTTTTTGACTCTCTGGGTATGGAAATCTGCCGTAGATACCAGAGAAACAAAACTATGTAAACACTCGTCTGAGAGTGGGCTGAGGGCTAAGAGAATTAAAATTCCTGCAAAGTAGTGGTTTAATCATTCTATGTGTGCTTGAGGGTGTCAAAATGTGAAACTGTCTTTTGCATGTACAGAGCAAGGAACCTCAAAATGAAAAGAAAAAAAAGTCTAAAAACAGTGTTGGTAGAAGTATGTACGTACAAATAATATCATATACTGTACTTACAAATAAACATCCTGCATTGCAAAAGTGACTTATTTACCAATATGTATACGTTAGACAAATGTGCTTATAGGATCAAATTGTTATTGTTTATAGATAGATAGATAGATAGACAGACATTAAACCCCTTAAAAAACAAAATCCCCTCCATACAAAAATAACAATTAAATAAATACAAATATTTAAATGTAACCTGCACAAAACTTTAAGGGCTTATCTTGCACAGCTGCACATCAGCAAAAGCTGCTTTGGACAAAAGTGTTTGCTAAATGAATTGCATGCTCAGCAGCATCTGTATTGACCTGAATACATATAAATAAACATAGACAAATTCAATATTAAGTGAGTGATGCTTTTGTATCAAGAGTAGCAGGGAAATGTCTGGCCCTCCCCTTTCAGCTCTACTTAGAAGCAATAATGTTACATAACATGGCCATCTGCTGTTCACAATGTTTTGAACGTCCCATTATGCGACATGGTGAAAGTCAGGAACACAATGAAAATTAAACAGTGTACAGATTTATTGCTCCCTTTTTCATAGTCGTTGTCTTTGTCGGGCTTAAATGCTTTTGGGTCAGAAGCACGGAAATTCTTGTTTTTATGACAGCATGTTTGCCTGCACGGGCTTGCTGCTGCTGCTGGTGCTGTTGGAATAGAAAAACAAAGACGCTCAGCCTGCAGTCAGAGAGGTAAAGGGCTGAGTCCCACAACTCCCCATAGAAACCTTAAAACGTGTCTGTTGTGTCCATGTGACAGTTGCTCTCACAGCCACTAAACATCTGGATAGGCAACAGAGAATCAATCATGGCCATGCAGCGACACCAAGTGGCGGGTCTTTGAATTGGTTTGACAAAGTGCTACTCAGTTAAAACATACCCCCCAACAGAAACCAAACCCATAACACTTCAGGAAATGTAACGGAAATTGTATCTTTAAATCAGTAAAATGTAGGCCTAGGCATTTTTCAAGTCTCTCGATTAATTTTGTTGTCGACGACAGGCTGAAGTGGAATAGCCTAACAGCATGGCTGATTATACATGCCAGTCATTGATAATAGAGAGAAAGAGAGAAAGAAAGAGAGAAAGAAAGAAAGAAAGAAAGAAAGAAAACGTTTTCTTGCAGTTTTGGTAAAAAGAAAGTTGCGTCTATAGGCGGCAGTATAGGTAGTGTTGCTCAAATATACCTTCACTTGTCTCTCAAATGAATTGCAAATGAATATTAATAAAGCAATATGAGTTAAGTTGATATTGCTGTTGCCCCAACCATACCAAAAACAAGTTGTTTTTAAAGCTCGAACAACACATTTGTACAAAACGATAACCAATGTGAACAGAAAATCTTCTCATACAGATCTAATTTGTATTCATAACCACAACAATTACAACATCCAGGGCCAAAGCCCCTATTGGACACTGACAATACCTTACAATAAGAAGAAAAAAACTTCTATGTTATCATGATTTTATCAACTGCAACTATTATTTATGAGTGATTAAAACAACTAGGTTATATATAGGCCTATGTTAAGCCTTTCAAGAAGCCTATTATTCCACCAAGTCATACGAAACACTTCAGACTTGACATGTTGGAATAGTGACACTAAATCGTGATGATTCATTTGAATCTTTGGATAAATAATACATGAAAACTCTTAAATTGATCAATGTATGCAATCTGTTCCTTGGTGTTATTTTTCCTTTGGACTAGTCTACATATCTCTAGGCCTATCAATAAATATGTAAAGGTCTATTAAGTAGCCTAATCAATTAACCTGAGATTATAAGACAAACTCAAGTTGTTTATATAAGTATTAATGAATGAGGGCTAGAGAAATCTATATTTAAAGTAATTTCCATGGGGACACCTTTTACTTTAGCGGATGCGACGACCTAAATTCGTGATGCGGATCAGTAGTTCTAATCTTTTTTTTTTTTTTTGGGATGTAGCCTGTGATTGGTCGTGTTGGAAAAGGACCCGCCCCCTACATGAACGCGCTCCGGAGCAAAAAAAAAAAAAACACCCTCAAGAGGCATGCACGGTGTAAATTGTGATATCACATACAAAAGCATTAATCTCAAAATTATTTTATTTATTTTAAAACGCGGTTGTTTTAACGAGACATAACCCCCTCACACCCTGAAAAGAGGGGAGGAGGGGGGGGAGAAATAACACTAACGGACGACACCGCCCCTAGCGCCACGCCCTCTGCATATTTTATTGGCCGTTGAGGAGCTACGCGGCGCAGTTGATTGGTCGACATTAAGAGCAATCATGTCTAAATTGGCACACGATTGGCTGAGCTTTTCAGGAGGAAGTCAAGTGTCAAAACGTTTTCAGCGATAAGCTGTGGAGTTGACAAAAGCGACCTGTCTCAGTCGAAACATTTTGGGCATAGTTTATTTTTTATATTGCCGAGGTGTGTCCACGCCGGGCGGACAGCGCTGAAGAGGATTACCTTAACCGGCTGCGACCCTTACCCCCCCCCCGTACTGAGCCGAGGATCTGGTCTCACCGCGGACTAGACGGCAGAGAGAAGAAAGTGGGACTTTATTGTTCGAGGCTAGCTAGCTAGCTTTGCCAGACGGCTTGTTTTTTTTGTGTGTACAGCAGGCTATATGGCTGCGACCTACGAGCCGATATATGGACTTTCTGAAGATGAGGTAAGCTCTATTCTATTCTATTTTAAATTTTGCTCTCCCACAGGGGGGTGGGTGGGGGTGGGTGGGGTGTGTGTGTGTGTGTGTGTGTGGGGGGGGGTTCAGTCAGCTAACTGTAGCCGATAGTGAAGCTAACAAGCCTTCACCCACGACGAGTTGTGTTCAGGCAGCTGTCAATTGTCTGTCCTGCCCCCCCCCCCTCCATGTCTGCATGTCCACTACTTTATCACCGCAATTTAACCACCAGCTGCACACCTTCAAAAATAAACATAACAGGTCGACAAAGCAAGCTTCATAAGTCACATTTTTAAATGCATGCACACAAGACTTGTAAGTGTTATTGAGCTGTTTTCTGTACAACAGCTCACCTCATGCGAGCAGAGAACTGTCATCATGATAATATCTGTCTCTCCATACTGTCATCTGTTCTGCACATGTTTAAATTTACTAATGTCACTTCATTTGTCTGTCTACTCCCGTTATATTGAATATTTTCTGCTCATAATATGTCTACACTCATGCACTTTAACTTATGTCAATACTGTCCATTTACTACTCTGTTTTTTTGCACATTTAATCTTTCATATTTAATTTACAACCATCTACAAGTCTGTTTTTTGCACATTTACATTCAGTCTTCCATATTTAATCTTCCTATTTAAGACTAGTAATGCTTAGTGAAATCCTGGTTGTATATATTCACATTCTTATTTTTGATATTTTTAGTACTTATTTACTTTGTATTTAATGTTATATTGTGTTTAGATTTGCTTTTTTACTCATTACTGTGTGTTTGGATAACCTGCTGCTGTAAAACCACAATTTCCCAGTTTGGGATCAATAAAGTAATTCTATTCTATTCTATTCTATTTTGAAGCCCAGATGTGCAGAGGAGAAAATGATAAATTACTGATGTGGAGGCTTTTGTAGGTCAAACTAACCACTGCTACAGACTAGAATAGTGGTCAACAATGCTTGATGGTTGCTTGTCATTAAATTGAGTTAAAATCCTGATATATGCTCATATCACCTCAATAAGTTATCAACCTGTACAATATGTCCATATTCTGTATATTATCTGTAATCTAGTATAGCAGGGATGGACAACTTTGGTCATGGCAAGGGCCACATTCAATTAATTCTCCCTGCCAAAGGGCCACATTGCAGTATAACAAAAATGATCAATTATGAATCAATTATAAAAAAAATCAATTATGTCTCAAATTTAACTCAACATATGCCAGTGATCAAATATTATTATGGACCTATTTCTGGTTTTCATGATTTCATGGCAGATTTTGTCACATTTTCTTCATGTTTCCTATTCATTGATATGTAAAAATTGACCTGAGGGCCACATTGAGGGTTGATGGGGGCCGCATGTGCCCCCCGGGCCGCCAGTTGCCCACCCCTGTAGTATAGCATGCTCACTGCACCTTAATCTATATATTATAATCCTAAGAATATATTTATAGCATTTATTTATATTTATAGCATCCCATTAATCCAGCCATCCAGATATACCCAATAATTCACTTTTTTTTTTAGTCTACATCTGTAAATTTTGTAATTACTGTACATAGCACAGATTCTTGCACTTTCTGCTTATTGCACTTCTGGTGAGCTGCCAAACCTCATTTCGTTACTGTATACATGTGTAATGACAATAAAGTTGAATCTCATCTCAGCTCTCATCTCATTGTACGTCTTGTCTTAGCCATGATATCATGCTCTCCATGGCTGCACGATAGTCACGAGTCAAACATAAGGACACAACTGAGAGACAAACATAATAATTATCTAACCGAGCAGCTGGCATATTAGCCAACTACCTATCAGACATTACCAATACAGTCAGAAATAGTAAGGCTGGGTACTTTTCGGTGTTAGGGATAAAGGACCAAAAATGATTTTTGCATTTCTTCATTCATGGCTCTCAGCGTAAAGCAGAAGCGTGACTGTGGCAGTGGAGTGTGCCAACTGCTTAAATCAGCAGGCCAAATTGTCACTGTTACACAGAGATGGAGGCGAGATTTGCAGTGATATTTTAAACTTAGTTTAGTGAGCATACAGTATTTCTTGCTAGATATAATGAACACAGGATAGATTTGCATTTTTAACATATAATATTTTTGAAAAGATCAAAACGGATTATGACAAGCTTTATTTAATGGGCTATGCCAATGCGCATCCAAACTCAACCACTATTTCTGTCACTTTCATAGCTCTGTGGGGCCCCTGTCTTATCCGTCAGTATTGGAGGGGATGCATGCCTTTTAGCAGAATTCCACAGACAGAAACCCGGGAGACTTTAAAATAGGATTCCTATTATTTTGGTTAACATTCAGTACAGTATTATAGCAGAGCACAAGTAAAGGTTTTCAGACAATTTTGGGTCCACATTCGATGGGGCACTCACTTCCTCAAACCATGAGGTAAACGTCCAGTAATTCTACACCCACTTAACAAAAACGATAACAGCGGGGTTGTCCTGAACTCCAACCCCAACTCTCTTCCTACCTGCATTCTCTAGCACTTGTTGAATACACACCTGTGACAGAAAATGTCCTCATGCTCTACTTCAATGTCATAATGTAAAGTCAGTCAGAAGGAGTTTTGGTGAATTTTATTCAGAACTCTTTCCTATTTGCATTGAAGAAAGCACAAGAAGCTAGTTTAAACAAAAAGAGAACTGGCCTGTGAAACAGCAATATTAAGCATTGTGTGCAATATATTGTCTTGCTTACAATTTTGCAATGTATTGTATCACAGTGTATTGAATGTGCTCCCTCTATTGTGAATTGTAGTTTATTGTGGGATTCTTAAAAATACACAGGGATAGTCAAAGTAAGATTGAGGAGTTTCTGTTTGAATCTTTTATGGTTTTCAACGCATTAGATCAATAAAGCTTAAGACACGTCATCTACGAGGATCTAAACAAGACTCAATCAGGACTGAGAGTGTTACAGATAAAAGTCAGTTCATATCTATGTCCGTGTTATTGACTTAAAAGGCAGGTACGTGCAGCCAGAATCTTGAGATATCTGAATTGGCTTGGTTTTCCTGTTTTGAGATCATTATTGTTTGTGTTTGAGTCAGTGTTTTCATCCATTCTCTCTTTCTTCCGCAGAATGAAACGAGAGTGCTGCGGGTTAAGGTCATTGCAGGAATTGATTTGGCGAAGAAAGACATCATTGGAGCCAGGTGAGCGTCACAAAAGAACCAACTGAAGATGCTTTTTGACCCAAGTTTACTATTAGTGACTCTTTTAAGTCACCATATCGCGCTGCCTCTCTCTATTGTCCTCGTGGGATAGATGTGAAGGCCTGGACAAGGGTACCTGTTTCCCCTTTCATGTTATAAATGTGTCTTTTACAACTGTTCTGCATCACACAGCATTTAAACAATGAACTTAAAACAATAGTAAAGAGACTTCAGGGGTTATTTACGTGAGAAAAGCCAAACATAAGACTGAGTACATAACCTGTAGATATGTCTTTGCATATTGCATTCTACTCTTCTGAGGGGCTCTTTTGCCTTTTCTTTTAACCTCATGCAGTACAGTGTTAAGCACTTTTTTTTTTTTTTTTTTTTACTGCATTCCTTTTACTTACAGAGACCTTGAACTGTACGTGTTAATTAATGATTACCCACCTGCCTCTCCTGTCCTACTCATGACCCACCTCAATTACCTTTTTGTCCAGATAAAAGTGAGGTGACCATAATTATACACACCAGAACTGTCTCACTTGTCAGAAGACACATTTGTGAACTTTTGAGTGCCTTTTGAAGTATCATGGTTATCAAGGGGCCTTTCTCTTACACTGTCTGACTTTTTTTCCCGTGTGTAATTCTGTGATGAAGTGTAACCCACTTTTAACACAACTTTTGTCATGTTGCATAATACACCTCTGTGGGTTTGCATTTGGAGTCTGTGTTTAGTCATTTTTTTTTGCATGGCTAAGCACTGTGGCTTCTGTCCTCTGAATTTTAATTACATACCTCTGCCTGTACTTGCAGTGCGAGAACACCATGATCAATTAATAATACACCAAATGACCATCAATCAGTGCTGAATCCTTATCACTCTGTTCCTGCGCCAAATGAGAAAATCATTTCGGAGTGTGTCCTTTTTTAGTCTAGACCAAATCAATAATGCTGTCACCCTAATTCAAGGATATTCATTGCCTGTATATTTTAAATGGCTTTTTATGATATCTTAAAACTGACATATTTTTCAGTGAGAACCAACCATCATTTCTGCTGCAGATGTCTTTTACCTTCAGGAAGCCATGGGCTGACATTGTCTTCAAAGTCACATTTAAGACACTTCAATGTCATACTGCTCGACTTTTATTTCAAGACATATTCATTTCATACACTAGCTTAGCTAGCAATGCTTATTGTTAGAGAAACAGTAACTTCTGTAACTGTTTTATTCAGTGTAACTCTGACTAAAATTACAGTGTCCACTAGAATTTCACTGCTGTTTTTCATCTAAAATGGCAAATGAAGCGACAGAGTCCAATACATTGAAAGTTTTTTGCAGAACATCTAAGGGGGCTGCAGAAAAAAAGTATCTCGGCCAATTGTGATCACATCCGGCTCACCCTAAAAAATAGTTCTGTGCATGCATGAAAACATCAAAGATCAGAAAACACCCATTTGGAACAAGGCTTTCCTCAAGCAGTTAGCCTCATCTACATGAAAACACTGATCTTACTGTTACTTATAGTAATGCATTGTATCTTAGGAATGAGAAAGCCGACATTGTCAGAGAAAGCGCCTGGCATGTTTAGCACTCTGTGAATGCTCCTCACATGCCAAAGTGCATGTGTTAGCATCCTGATGTCCTGCTGGCAGGACAGCTCAGCCTGGCTTGGGAGATATCTGAACTGTAATGAAGAAACACTGAATGAGGCCTCGATGTGTGGTGAGCTACCAGAGGAGGAGACGGTGCTGACTTGGCAATCTGTCACTTTATAAGACGCTCAAACAGTGCTGGCTTGTTCGTCTCTTGTTTTTGCTCCAAACGTGTTCCTGTTATTGTATTCAGTTATACAACTACTTTGTTCTATTGTTTCCTGCGGTTATTTTGGGTTACACAAAACATCCAAAGTTTTTTTATTTTTTATTGTGAGGTATAGATAGAAACTCGAGGAACAACAACTTGATGAAGCTGTCACAGGGGAACTAGCAGCCCATGCTAGCTTTCATCTCCCTTCTTTGACCTGAAGTAGCCGTCTTCCTCAGCAGGATTTGTGTTGATAGAAGGAAGGAGACCAGAAGGAGTCTCAGAGCAGGCTCGGTACAGTAGACCCATTGTTTTTTGTTTAGTCACAGCACATCACATCACAGAACCACAAAAACACACAATTAGAAGCTGTAGGCTTCCCAGAGACCTTAATTAGCAATCAAGCAACAGCATTTTTTGCTTTGGGTTTGTCTGCAGCTCATTTTCAAAATATTTCCTATTCCTCTTGACTTTTCCTCCGCTCCCTCTCAGCTGCTTCCTGTAAAGTCAATGTGAGGCTACGCTCCAGCTGGCAGGCCAAATCTTATTTTGGCAATATCCATACTGGAATTAGATTGCTTCTCACATCAATTCTTGTTGGCAAAAATAAAACCCCATGGAAACTGATTTTGACAAATCAGATTTAACACACATTCATAGATGTCTAAAATGTGAATCAAATTGCATTTCTAACCTTGAGTGATGAGGCTAGCCACTGCAATCAAAATGCCATTTGCTTCACAGGAAATGCAAGACATAATACCAATGTCTCCGCTAGAGCAAGACAGGTTTTTAACTTCCTTATTGTCTTTTGTGCAATTTGAAAGCTCTCTACCAGTGCTTCTTGCTGTTCTACTTCCACATGAGAGAATCACACCATCTGTTTCACTATGTGAAATACCCTGACTGAAGTTATTTCAGGTCACACAGTAGCTTTATGGGAAACATTGACTTTTCATGAGGAGATGATTGATTCATCTGTTGACAGAAAATAGATCAGCAACTGTCAAGATAATTGAGTAATCGTTTGTTATGTCAAGAACAAAAGCCAATTATTTTATTCTCAAGTGGCAGAATTGATACTATTAAAGAATAATAGACATATTACTATTGTTATTTCAAGGATTTCTTGGATATTTTGATAAGCATTTATTTTTTGTCTTTTGTATTTCTCTCAACCAATTTTTTCACTATTTTGTTTTAATCAAGGTTGCTACCTAGGACGTCGTTATGTAACCCCTGTTAGTAGGATACCAAACAGTTATACCATTATGATTTAAAGATGAAGGATACAGAAAAGCTCCGTAAGTGTTCAGTTACAAATTTAAGTTGTCCTTATTTTCTGATGTTCATATGCCGATTAAACTGCTATAAACAGGGGCGCCGGTAACCCCCGTACAGAGGCTTAAGTCCTCGAGAGCAGGCAGCCCGGGTTCGAATCTGACCTGTGGCTCTTGTTCCACATGTTGTTCCCCACTCTCTCTTCTCCCTGTTTCAGACTCTATCCACTGCCCTTTGTCCAAAATAAAGGTATTAAACATCCAAAACAAATCTTTTAAAGTCTATAAACACATTAGTTGGAAAATTATTCACTAATGAAAATACTTGCACACTGCACCCCGACTCTGGCTGAGGTGTTATTTTGGAGTCTGAATTTGGATGTCCTATTTGCATATGAAATTGCATCCAATGCACTCTGAAAACACACATGATGTGCAACGTGAGGCAGTGTGGTCAGGTCAGACCGCTCATGTTTGGAGTTTCCCATCCACTTGCCTCCACAGAAGTACTTAAGCACTGTCTTTCCTCAGCACTCATCTCCCTTTCCCCTTATCCATTCAGATCAGTCCCTGTGGTGCTAGTTATTTTTTTTCTGTTTCAAGGACAGAGCACAATTATGTACATAAAGCATCCTTCCCACTTGTTTATTCTATTAGTGCGGCCGCTTATTTACATAGAACAAAACTATTGTGAACCAAATACAGACATCAGGTTTTGTAAACCGGGGCTGTAAGAAATATCGCTACAGTTGAGGATCCCAATAATGTTTACAATACTAACACTTCAATATTCTCACTACTCATTGTTTATTCATAGTTTACATGCATTTTAATGATAGACACATTTTAATTTATTTTCCTAGATAGTACCAACAGTAGTGCAATGTCCTTTATAGATTGAGACAGTTCCGTAACTATTATATTGATTCTGCAACAGCATAATATTTTTGTCCAAGTTTGTGATTGAACATTGCGGTATGGCATTGCGGATGTGTGAAGAAACAGCGGGAGCTTCACATGCATGACACACACTCAGACATGCACAAACACACAGCGCTGTTCTTCCACTGGCCCTGCCATTTCTTGCCCCTGTAACACCTCTGTCACTACCTCAGATGCTAGCACACTGGTGGGATGTCTTGGTCCCACCATTCCGCTCCTGTGACATTCACATCGTTCACATAGGCAAGATATTACAGGGGTGTAAATTTTGCGCCTCCAACTGGCAATATGAATAGAACTACTGTATATTATCTGAACTGTCGTAATACAAATTCAGACCAACAGTTCTAATTGCACAAAAGTGTAAAGTTTTGTACCCACATTGAGAACCAATACTTACTTTATTCTTATGGGGGCGTCTCTTAAAGACATTACATTTAAAAAAACTCAACATTTCATGTTTTTTCAATTATTGTTCTGTATAGAACTTTTACCTCTGTATCTTCACATGTATAATTTCTCCAGATTGCTGTTTTAAAATATAAAACGTGTAAAAACAGCAGCTGTTTAATTTTTTTTGACAGGTATGTTATACTGTAAAGGTTTCAAGTATGAATATGCCAAGTGATATTAGAATATGTGCACTTTCACCACACACACACACACACACACACATTCTTGTGAGAATATCCTCCATAAAGGAAATTCTGGAAAAGGTAATCATCTGATATTGTACCCCGTGCTGCCTGTAGGGATTGAGTTCAGTAGAGTAATTGCTCTGTCTGGTGAATAGCACAGCTCTGCCTCTCTATCCACAACCCGCCAGGGATTTCTACCTTGTCAGCACCTTCAAATAAAGCCATTGGCTGTTTTTAAATAGCACAGTCACCTTGCTTACTATTTGCACTGGTATCATGAAAATGTTTTGCAGTGTCTATTTTTAGCACTCTGCTTTGTCAATAAGACATTATAGCCTTATCTCATAATGCTCAAATGTAAGCAGTTTTTTTCCCGCTGCTGGGTTGTTTGTGGAAGCCTCGGGTTTCAGGTCTGGGAACAACCAGTGTAGCTGAGCAGTATGGACACCTGCACCTTTGTTGAAAGTTAATATCATATTGGATTTGGAATAGAATTAACTACGTTTAGACATTTCGATATACTGCATGTGTTTTATCTTACATGATTGGGATACATAATCTTTAAGACCAAAAATGTGTCACAGTTTCAACAACCGCCTAAACAACAAGCTACATTATGCTTGTCTAAAATATATTTTTAAGTTGCAAAATTCCTGATTCAAAACACAATTTTGTTCATTTTGTTTTTAGTATTTTGGCTTAATTCCTGATTGGTCAAGGAATAAACCTTTATTTTTACTGCCATGTCAAAAACATTAATGTGTATATTTCTACTGAAGTGTTAGCAATGTCATTTGCATATTTTGAATGTTGTTGATCACATTGTTTAAAGGAGATTGGCACCTGTGACCTGGCTCCAAATAAATGTGTTTTTTTGCCACTAAAAGTTGTTTTCTCTTCCTGTTTTGCGTCTGCAGCGATCCCTACGTCAAACTGTCCCTCTATGTTGCTGATGAAAACAGAGAGCTTGCCTTAGTTCAAACAAAAACTATTAAAAAGGTAGGTCGTAAGGTAAGAAGTGACACTGTTACACTCATCTTAAGCATACTATTGTTTTACCTTGAAGTTTAAGACCCAGTGAACGTCAGTGTTTGTCTCCCCAAGAAGACTAGTCAATCCTGCCACAGTAATCTCCTCCCACACCTGCATCACACTTAAACCATTAAGCCTTTTAAATGAGGCTTTGTCCACTTCCCTTTTATTCCACATGTATGAGATCACCAAATCTTCCTAGCAACACCACCCTGAACAATAGCAGCATGTTTCCCTCAAATCAAGGCAATAATACACTCTTGGAAACCTCAGGAAGTCACCAGAAGGCAGTGCTTCCTTTCCTGCTCAGTAGAGTGTGGAGGGATTCACTGGGCGAGCTTTTTACCCCTGAGGCTTATTTTAGGGAGCAAACCTGTTCACAGCAGGGGGAGCTATTACTTGCTATAATATTAAACACCATTCAGAGAATATCTTTGTGAAAGTGGGCTGTGATTTTGAAACTTAAGTTTATATTCATTGTTAACATTGTGGTGTATGGCTTAAAAAGGAATCTTTATTCAATTACAATGCAGAAAATCTAATTTATATGATTCTGCAATAAATGCTTATCATCCACTTTGATGATATGGCTTTCATAAACAACCTGAATCTGGAAGCAGCTCCATATTTTTAATTTCTAGCCTTGTAGCTGTCAGCCAACCCTCTGCTGGAGTCGGGCAGCTCAGGCCTCCATGCAGGCAGGCATATGCTGCCAGTGGCCACGGTTGCCTTGTTGGATATAAATAGCTGACAATGCACGGCTATGTGGAGCAGCCGAGAAAGAAGCATCACTGCTCGGTACTTCTATGGGCTCTATGTGTCTTAAAGTGGGACACCTTTGAAGGCAATCTTTGTTGTGGAAGCTAAGAGACCTGCTTGAGGCAAGAAAGCTTTAAGAAAAAAAAATGATGGTGAATATGACTGAGACTGTAACACAGTATCTTGAAGTTACCCAGTGCCTGCAATACCAAACCCTAATATTTTTTGCTATCCTGGATATTTTCCTTTTTCAATCAATGACAACTTGTTAGATTTAAGGGTGTAACTAGCTTCAATTAAAAGGTCAGTGGGTTCATTCGTAATTCTTGTCCGTCAGCAGTTTTCTTTAACAGAGATGTTAATTTATCGCTGCCGTAAAATGCTGCAAAGTGTTTATTAATCAGAGTTACTTGTGAATTTAAGGCTTCATTGACATTCTGGTGTTTAACTCATTTCAATCACAGAAGGAATTTAAATGTGATGTGTCACATAGTTCTCGGTCCAATAAAATATTGAATGCGTGAGGCAGGAGCAGAGAGTCCGTGTACCAACACAGTGGGCTGATCTGTCAAGAAAGTGGGATAAAATCCTCATAATATTGTTAATCTAGGGACTCACGCCTATCACTCTGACATGTTAGACATAAAGTTCCACTAAAAACGTAAGAGGATCATTCTGACGCACATGAATGTTTCACTTGGGCTCAGGCTAAGTTTGATAGGTTTCATGCATATTCTGTTTTCTGTGCATTTAATGATGTTGCTGTCTGTGCATATGATTCTAAACCTTTTTATGCTTCCTATTTCAGACCCTCAATCCCAAATGGAACGAGGAATTCTACTTCAGAGTAAGTTAAGATTTTGAAACTTTTTCTATGATTTACAATGTGTCAGATTCCCCTTATTCCCAGTATCATCCACTGTGATGGCCTGTCATTGCACATGTTTACTCTCGAGTGTTAGTGTTACAGTTTTTAATCTTTCGTTGCAGTTGAACTAAAATGTCCACCTCCTGCACCACTGGAATCTCAAACAGTCTGTATTAGACTTAAGCTTAGTCACATGTGATAACTCCTCTCTGTTTATTTATGTAAAGGAGCAAGTATTTAAAGGAGAAAAAAAGGGGAAGAAGTTTTTTACTTTCGTTTCCTTTTTCTGTTGTTATTGCCGCAGTGTCAGCTCATGAACATTTTGAATTGAATGTGCTGATGCTTACTTTAATGAACTTCTTTCTTCAGAACAATAAGACTTGCATGGTTAGATTGTGTTGGATCAGACATGCAATTAGGGCAAGGGTCTGGTATTTATAGCAGTGGTCTGACCTACAAAAATTACAGACTCTAGTATACTATAACCGAGCAATCAGAATGACAATGCCGTTTAAGTAAAAGAATCAAAGTTCAGTCCAGTGATATAATGATTAAGGACTGATTACCCTCCAGCTACTGTAGTTGATAATTATTGTGCAGAACTCAGTGCTTGCTGAATATCTGTATGCATGCATGTATGTATAAGGTACATTGGCATAGACTTTGCATGCTACAAACAGAACCACTGGATGATTGCTATATTATCTCTGATGTTATTTTGTTGCCCACACAGGTGTGTCCACTGAATCACAGGCTACTCTTTGAGGTGTTTGATGAAAACAGATTGGTAAGATTCACATTCTGTAACCTCCTACCTTTTCACTCCCTCTGTTGTTTACTATCACACATTGTTTTTTGTCTTGTTTTGATAGCTTTTCACAAGCAGTTGATAAAGTTTCCCAAACAGCATTCCTCATGTCTATTTTTTTTTTTGTTGCTGTTTTAAATGATTTAGACTCGAATTGTCTTGATAACATTTCTTTTGATTCCCTTCAGTGATCACAGGCTGTACAGCAATTATTTATCTAATTGTTTTGCCTAAATTGTGCCCAGAAAATTTCAGTGTTACACCAATCGTCCAAGAAATGTTCTCCAACTAGTTTTGCTTTCATTTCACAACAGGAATCACCAACAACCTGAAATGGTCTTTTATCTACACCCGTGTGTCGCCGCAATAATCTTTGTAAACTCTCTGTTACATTACCAGATTTCATCTGTAGCCTCACTGAAAGTAAAATAAATAAACTGCATTTCTAGGAATACACTTAACACAATCATTGTACAGGCTGCTCTGCTTTAAGCCTGTAGTCCACTAACAACCACTACATTCCTCCTAAGTCAAGATTCTCAGATTTCCCCCATAGACGAGAACACTGGCTTCCTTGACTTGTGAAACGAAGCCTGTTGTAGGCCCTCAGTTGCCATGACAACTGGATTAAGTGTCTGCACAAAGTCAAGCGTTGCAGCAATTAAAAACAGCACAAGTAGGTCTTGATAATAAATTTGCTAATCTTCAGAGGAGAATGACGTGTTTGTTGACATTATGGAGACTTTGTTCTGTGGAAGAAACAGAAGGCTTTTATGAAAAGGGGACGCAAGACTGCGATGATGTTTCCTCTGTAACTCTGCGGTCAGAATCTAGAGTTGAATGTTTGATAAAACAAACAGAGGATGCAGCACAGTGTAGTGTTGATGTTCTTGGCTGGACAAGGAACATGATGTCTGGGCCGGACTGGTTCAGGGCTACTGCTTTAATGTGCAAAGAACCAACGTAGGAGGTTGGAAGATGTGAGGCTTGTGGAGTGTCTTTTTGTGACGACCATACTGTAGCTTTTCCTGATAACTTTATTAAGTGTAGATTGAATGATTAGATGTTTTGTGCTGATAAAATAAGCACATACATGGAGCTGTTGTGTGCACATGATTTGCAAAGAGGGAATTACTGGCACTCAGCCTGCAAAGAAAAGGGCAGCTGTAATTTCCCCCCGCAGTACAGCAGGAACTCTGTTGCTGTATAGAAGAGGCTGACACAAGACAGCCTCAAGCCTGCTCCTGTCCGACTCCTTATATGTCTGAGGAGTCGCTTTTCTGTCTATCTGTAGGTGCATGCCAAAGCAGCTCTTCCATCTCTGGGCAATGTTTCTTCAACCAGACTTTTTTTGTTATCTTGGATCCATTATGGTTTATTTGTCTGAACAGTTGAAATATTTAATGTAGCTTTGTGCTGTAGCATGTAGGGATGGGTACAAGTTCTCAAGTACTCGAGTACTCTTTGTTGATGTTATCATTCGAGTAACAATTCAGTACTAGCCCACCCACACACTTGTTGTTAGTAGCTAGAAATTGAAAAACAGACATAAACAATAACAGGGAAGTTGTGGGGAAAACAGCTGTATTGGAATTGGCCATCAGCTAAATTGGTATTTGAAACATTGGTATAGGTATCAGCCCTGATTTCATCTTCTCCTTGTGCCTACAAATGTAGTACAACTATAGATGTAACTGTCAGTAACATTGAATGTAAAAAAAGAAGTTAAAAAAGGCTTACAATACAGTGTAGTGCTCTGTGTGAAGAAGACATGTTATGTCATTACAAAAATGGGCTTGCTGCCATTTGACCACACATTGGCATTTTGTTTCTTGTATCCAGAACATTCTCCATAACATTACACACACATTTATTGACTGCTTGCACTGTAAGCAGTGAGTCATCACACAGTTAAATACCCTGCCAAGCCATGGCTTCTTCATGTTCTAGTCTTTTATCCTATTGGATGCTTCTGTGCCTCCAGTCAATATTGCCTGTCTCCTTAATGCCCTGTGGTTCACAATGGAGCAGCTTCATTTCTTGGTTTTTGTCCTTTTCATCTCCACTGTGGTGAACCATCAGTAGCCTGGCTGTCAGCCTGCTTTTTGACACAGATAAGATGACGCACTGAGGCCAGAACCATAGGTCAAATCAGTCATGGGAGTAGGAACAGATTTTTGGGTGATAGCGCTCTAAGGGCGCACTCACACTCGGCCAAGTTGCTATGTACTGTGCACGATTGTTCCTCCTCCCCATTCCCCTGCTGTCCTGCACTCACACAGCTCCAGGCCCAACCGGCCCTTAGCACGGTTGCCTCTGTACACATGTCATCACATACGTGTAGTACTGATTAGATCATCACTAAAGTGTATGTTATGCGAGAGAGACATTTAAAGCAATACAAATTCTCAGTTATCATTTTGATATTTTACGTGGCTTGAATGATTTACGATGTAAATTAATTCACTGAGTAACATGAAAGAAAACCCTCCACTCCAACTTAAAAGTTTGGCTATAGACTGTAGTGATTTTTCTCTAACAATGGAGAACAACCCAGAGAACATGACGGCAACTTTACCGACTTTGTGGCAAATTTTGAGTCATTTTTGTCAGATCAGAAGACCCTGTTAACATTCCTGGATTTCTCAGTTATGCAAAACGGGGGTTGATTTTATTTCATGTCGACGTTGTGTTCCTGTCCTTGTGCTGGTGCATGAGCCCACCTCTTCCAACCGTGCCAAGGCCAAGAAAGTGTACTGTGCCTGAACACGATACGGAGCACTCACACTAGTCAAACGAACTGGACTTTGGGTTCAAACATGCTTGGGAACGGTACAGATTGTCTATGGGACTGCACCTTGAAAGGTCAAAGTATCAGAGGGTTTTTGACAGTTCTGGGCCTTGAGGCTGGCCGCTTATTTATCGACTCATGCCTGAGGTTAAAGAAGCAGATATGCTGATCAATATATGATTCACTGCTAACTAGCAGTGTACTGTCATGCATGTACATTCTGTTGTGAAATTGCATCCTTCTTCTTTGCCTTGAATTGTAGCCAAATATTGCAGTACAAGTGCTTAAGCGTCATAATTTCTTCATTCAGCCTTGCAGACGATGATCTCAGCTGAGTCGTAGCTCGGCTGTTTTTGGATGCAAACAGAGTGGCCTATAAAAACCACCAGACAGATAACTGTTTGGCTGTCTGTTGGAGACAGCCTAGTCTATTCCGTTTGAAAAAAACAATCTTGGCTATCTTTCCCCAGAGAGGGCCATGCTCTTCACCCTATCAAAGCTGCAATCTGTCAGCTTTTTGTTCTTCACTCTGCTGCTGCCTTTTTTTGATGGTCTATTTTTAGAACAACTTCTTTATTCTGCTTTTTATGTCTCCAAAGTACAAGAAGAACCCAGGAGTCATTTGTCTTTCAGATTTGTTATGAATTTTAGTCTGTCAATCTTCAATTCTTGTTTTGACCACCATTGTATAAGTTGGATATGGAGGCAGATGTGATTTTGTGTGTTTTCACACAACAGATTTACGGACCTGTTTCTTTTATGAATTCTCTCTCTTATTCTTTCTCATTCTCCTGGGGGACCATTGTGGGTTTCTCAGCAACCACAGAATGGTCGATATTGTGTTAAGCCGTTACATGAAATTTAGAGTATTATTTTAGAATCAGTTTGTTATTTGTGGAATTTCTCTTTACAAACAGCAATCAATAAATCATAGTCTCTAAAAAAACAAGGGACCTTACCTTCCTGCCTTCCATATGCACAGAATTTGTTATATCTGGAAATCTTATTATACAAGAATGGCATTTAAAGGTAGTTTCATATGGCAATAGTGTCCAATGCTCTCATGTGGACTTGCTTTGCGATGCAAGTGGGGCAGAACATGTTCATGTATTTGTGTGGTTGGCTCAGTGTTCAAACAGGGATGTTCTGATAAAGAGATGTAATGCTTTTAAAAAAAACTTTACTCAAATGCTCTGTAAATTATATAACAAAGGGTATGGTATAGAACTGTTCTTTTTGCAAGGTGTGTTGAGATAACATTTGTTACGAATTGGCGCTACACAAATAAAGATATAAAGATAGATGTTGAGATCACAGTTTAAGGTAATTTAGAGGGCTATAAAACTGCAAGGACATTAATCAGAGGTGTTGAGGATGGGGAATGGTTGGGTGTTAAAGACATTGGTGAGTAGTACAGTATGTGTCTGGGGGGGCAGTTGGCACTTGAGGGCAGCATGGGGTTGCAATAGGAGGTGGGGTGGCCATCTGTAGTCACATGACTGACAAGCCACCCACTGTCACCTCGGAAACCAGGAGCGCCAGCAGCTCTTATCCTATCATGTAAGGAATGCTGGCCGTCACTAGGCTCAGTCTATTTCTGCTGTCTGTCGCTAGTGGTAAGAGTCTGGCATACAGGGATCTGTCTCTCTTTTTTTTATTCTTTTCCCCTCACCCTTTTCTTTTTGTAGCTTCCACTCTGAGTGAGCAGCGAAAAGTTGTCAGCTCTTTTTCAGCAGCAGTGGAGATTTTGTGGTGTGACTTCTTTCCTCCATACAGTTTATTGAGGGAAGGAAAGTTGTGGACTAGACTGAGAGAAGGTGGGAGGGGGAAAGTGGAAGAAAAAAAAGGGGGGGATCAGTCATCCAGCCAGCCAAAGGAGAGAAGTGGGCGACACTAAGAGAGTGAGACTGGAGCCTGAGGAGAGAACCAAACAGCCAGGCAGAGAGAAAGTGAGAGTGAACGGGAGCTGTAGGACGTGAGGTGAAATGGCACAACGTCTGCGTTTGTACTTCGCCTCAGGCCGCAGTAATACAGCGCCTGAGATTCTGGAAGGGGACTTAGAGGAGCAGCAGGGAGACAATGATGTGGTCGCAGAGCTTTATACGCATCCACCTTCGGAACTGAGGCCTTCTCAGGAGCCAGCTGCCCAGCAAGTCCAACAAAACCAGTTCTGTTTGCGATCAGAACC